TTACTCAGAAGCTCCATCGGTGTTATTAGCGATTCGGCAGAACTTCCTCCTTCAAAAGGGAAAAGATAGAAACTCAGCCGTTGTCGCAGTACGAGACACGCTGGATGGGCCGCAAACGATCGAGATGGAACTCATTCTAAGACTCACAAAAAAGTCACAGTTTGCGGGAAAATACATAGCTAACCTTATCGTGCACGTTGCTCCTCATAAACGACATTCCAGTTCGTTCGGTTATTAATAGGATATCTCTGTATCGAAATATGTGTGCTTTTAAATGATTTTAGATTTTTATAGAGCCGTAGAAATTGTTTCTTATGTAGAAACGGATAGTTTTTAACAATAGCAGCAATCCGAACTAAACATTTGGAGTCTCAATCAGTGGTGCCTTCGCTTCTGCTCATGAAATTTTTTTTGTCATTTTTGCTAGTCAAATGCAGTTACGTACTAGTGTCTACATATGTACCTACTATTTAGTCGCTTTCCCTTCTTCTTTAAATTTGTATTTTTTTCAGAAAGCTCTAATATATTAGCAGACGTAATTTTTTGGAAGAAATTTGCTGTAAGTCTTTTCGTTGCCCAAGACGGCGCAGAATACTATCTGATCCTAGAAGCTCTTGAGTATTCAATATCTTTTGCGGACGGCTTTACCAACAAGCTGACAAAGTTGTATCTACTTTGTGTCGAGTTGCGTAAACATGCGTTGATCGTACTCTTCAGCTGCTAAACCGCTTCCGTCTATACTAAAATTACACACTATAGTGGCTGTATTGCGTATTTGCCAAAGCTCTCACAATTCTCATGAAAGATTTCTTTTTTTGCATCAAGAATCCCGAATCAACGAGAATCCATGACCAAGCTCAACGATACTTTTTGTCTATGCGAATAAAGAGAAGTAAAGTCTAAGCTCAGCCATGATCATCAGTTAGATTTGTAGAACTGAATCATTGAGTCCCAGGTGTGAGTGGTATTCAAACGATAGCATTTGCTATTATGCAGCATTCACTTTTGCAAAGACAAATTTAAAAATATCGGCTTGTGTGAAATTTATATTGCGATCACATTGTTCCTTGTGGCCATTTCGCAAATTTTCTTGAAAATCCCATGATTGTTCCTAATTCTACTACTACGTGATCTCTTTTTGTTAGTTCCACTTTTTTACAGTTTTTACTTTAGCTATACTAACAGAAGTGTTTGCGTGATATAATCACTGCATGTCTGTCCTATGAATAATAAAGATATTTTTCCCTGCAAACTAGTTCGGTACCGCATGTGAGCTGTGTATAATCTTAATCATTTACACTTTCTTCTTTCGCTTCCCCTCCGTAAACAGTATTTCACTGATGTCATGATATTCTTTACCTTTAAAGAGCAGTATTGAAGGACTCTTATATAAAAATTTATAAGAATCAGAATGAGCCTAAAAACTGTACTGCGTGACATCAAAATATTGGCCAAGTTAGGATAGACCTGAATAGGTAATGGCTGAAGGGTTAATGGTTCAAACTGAATGTTTCTGTTCTAAAGTATGGGATGAAGCACATAGATATGTCCTCTCACATAGCAATATCCATTCGAATTTCGTAAGGAAGTCAGCTGTTAAAACTAATGTCATTTAATATTCAGTGTGCGGACAAGTATTGCAATACTCCATTGGATAAAACATAATAATAATAAAACATTCAAGTATGCTATAAATTAGTGGATGTTTTGATAAAGTTTTCTCTGTTCATAAGTGCATTTGATTTGCATTCGAAAATGTTATTAATCCATTTTAGTAGAATCCAAGATGGTTATTCCTGCATCAAAGTTTGCGGATCAGAGGATGCCACATGTCTTGGTAATCACACCAAAGAAATTCTTTACCAGTTTCGGGCTTTACCATCTACCACTTTTGTTAGATATCCTATTGAGGTTGGTGGAATTATGTTTGTTCTCTTTTGATAGCAGTAAGTTAACGGTTGAGTAATTTTCTGCTATGAAGTGCATCACAACTTTCCAATTTAGGTGTCTAGGATACGGACTCATATGGACACACCATTTTCGGTGGACTACAGTCTTGACACCGTTGGACTGCGACATTTCATCATTGAACAAGATAGAAATATTGGTAAGGAGTTGTCGTCTCTTGCACTTCAACGCCCGAAGCAGAGTTTTAACACAAATCTCTTACGTCATCAAAAAAGAACATAAATTTCAATAATAAGCATCAAAAGCGCAAGACTCGATACAGCTGTTTTTGGAACGGTAGCACAAGGCTTTGTTAAGCAGTCAATAGGGATATCCCTTACCGTTCCTTATAATTAGCTTGCTGGGATTATTGTGGAAATGATGAATTGTCTGCTAAAATATAAACCCTAGATTCTCCCATAATGCAACATAACCCTGTCAAGTTAGATTAAATGTGCTGCGCAGAAAGCTCCGCTGTCAAGATTAACGGCCAAACTTAAATGCTCCCTGAATAACAACTTAGCCGTTGAACGTTATGGAGATAGGCACATTGTGTTCGCTGAGCTTCTTAAGTCAATTTGGGTTGCAACGAGGAAATTCGATAAAGTTACTAGCATTTCAACACCTCGCTGTGGGAGAGAAAGTTCGTTGATTCGTTAACTATTGGGTTGAGTAAATATTGTTCCAAAAATAGCTTTATACGTAGAACTAGTTTTCCAAATCAGTTCTTGTTTAAACTCCTCGGCAAATGGACTCAGAGGTTTAGAGATGGTGGATAGAGAACTTTAGAAATATTGAAATTTAGTTCTAGTAGATTTCTGTTGAACGCGAAGATAATTTGAAAATGTGCTGTACATGCAGCATTGAAGACTGGTCACAAAAACCTTTTGATCAGATTTGACAATTCTGGAAGTTCAACAGCGCATGTTGGCTAATGCTTTTTGCTTTATCCTAGCTATGATTAAGCAAGCTCATATTTGTGCGAATAAGCACTAATTTTGATAAATAAAGGTGACAGTAGCGTTGCAGAGCATGCAAACAAGACTTACGCGAAATTATTTGCATATGATAAAGTCTGACCTTCACTTCGAGCGAAACCATCTGAGCTTCAAACGTTTAAATGATTCTTTAATTTTTAGAATTTAAAGCAATTTGTTTGAGGCAAAACGTTTCACTTCTTTCCCTAAAGTGTTTTCTCTGAGGAAGTTGGCCTCCTTTTTTCCTTTTGTGACGTCTTCCTCCAACCACATACAGAACTTATTCATCATGTTCTTGTTGATAGTTGTTCGAGAAAGTTGTGATTTTTGTTGCGCTACTTCATAGATATTGTTCTGCATAAATGCAAATGCATAGAATTAAAGAACAAGATACGGCACAATTTTTAGAAGACGAAAGACCTCTTAAACTTGTAAAAGGACGAATAGGCATATAAGACAAGAAATGATGGACATTCAAAATATTTGTTGACACTCTTGAGTAACACACGTCAATTTTTTCCAGATTTTTTTCTAAAAATTTCTTTAAAAAGTTGCTTCAAGAGGGTGGAGAAAAACACTTCTAAAGACTATTGTCCTAAAAACGCGAGGAAGACTAACTGCAGGGTCTTCAGTGATTAATTATTCTGCTGTACGCTAGATTCATTTGTAGCCAGCACCTTTGATAAAAGCTTGGACTGCGGTATCAGCAGGTTCACCGTAGCTAATGTTTCTATGATATAAGAGTGAACAGCTTATGAAGGTTTATCACTCATAGATTCTTTAAACACAGTAACCAGGAAATTGAGAAGATTCTGTTTGAATTCTGAAGAGGCGAGCGTAATCTACGCTTGCGAGGTTAACATTCGCGCGAGAAAACAATCTTTACGAGTATCGCATTTCACAGGAATTGTGAAGTTGGCTAAACCTATCGCTGGCCCAGCAACAGAGCGAATTCG